AGTTCTCTTTTTAAATGTGTCGTGGCCCTAAATAGGGACGACAGTTTGGTTTGTGCTTCCTTAGAAACGATTCAAGCAAATTGTATAAGGAGAACCGCTAAGCAAGTGTCTCACTCGTTTGGCTTTAGAGTAGTCGACAATGAAACCAATGTTGCAATATTGTAGCAACCCGTACCTGGGAGAGTGGTTGAAATCACGTTATTTTGGCTTTATAAATATTTTGTAGCAGCTTGTGAATCCATAACTGGGGACACCAATTTTGCAATGTCGCGCCAAAGACTGACAACTTTTTTTACCATCTTTTATCACTGCTATTGCATTTCTGTCATGAAAACTATTCTTCTGTCGTTGGATAAAAAAAAACTTCAAGTCCACCAGATGCACAAGGTCAAAGATGATTGCTAGACTGTAAAAAGCATCGTGTGCCATTGTCTCTTTATTATGATTAGACATGAATGAAAAGTGCCAAGCTGACAGACTGGGAAATACGCGTTTTAAAAGTGCCAAGTGTGGGACGATAGACGAACTTCAGGAATAAGTTGTAGGGATTTTGTTCGACGGCTACAGTGACGCCGACTTGGACATTTGAGGGTTTTGAGTTTGACGAAGATGGCAATGAACGTACAAATAAAGATCTGAGAAGTTTTTCTCAAACAGCTATGAATTTTTATAATTTTTACTGTGTGAATTAGTATTTATCTTGTATGATGGTAGATTCATAATTTGTCGAGACTGGAAATCATTTTACGCAGTTTAACCCGACATTTTAATTCATTTTGAGTTCACGCGTATTGGGAGTGTTTGTCAGCAGGAAAATCATAATTCAAATGATTCCTCACTGTCGATTTTTATTATTTCTGGTTTATTTGTCACATTATAAGCAATACATTATTTTTGTTTTACTTCTAATGTTGCATATTGTTCATTTATTTCCGTTGACGTTCGATCTGCGCGTTGTCAATTTTCACGAATTTTTGTTTAATTTTTGCCGGGGATCTCCTGGCAAACACCCACCCCTTCTTTTTGGCAATTTACCATGTTCAGGACCCTGGGCTTATACCCGGATAAATACGGTATTATTAAAACACTTGCATGTACGACAGTTATTATGAATTCTAAGCTTTTAACTAATATTAAAAAAAAAATTGTTTTAAGGAGACTACAACTACTTTCATTCCTGCAATATTTAAAAGAAATTTAAACATTTATGCTCCAAGAGTGCCTATTTAATACTGCAAATCTAATGAAAGTCGCGAGTGATGGACCTAATTTGTTGATTTGCATTGTCAGATGCTGAAAGCCAACTCGTGCCACCAGCCTACCAAATACTCGCATGAACCCAAATAATTCAATATGAATGTTATAACTCGTTTAATACCTGTAATGTTTTGTTGTTCATACCATTCAAGTAGATGACATCATCAACTGTGTGCGCGAAATCGACACCATCCACCCTTCCATCAACTGTCAGATTGCCATAAACGTACATATCATGGGCTATTCTCAGATTGCCTAAAAACCTCTTATTTCCAGTTACATTCTAGATATAAACAAAAATATTCAGCAAACAATGCAACAAAATAATCAAAATTATGTGATAAAACATTTGATAAACACAAACCTGTTTAGTTCCCAATCCATCTAACTCGTCAAGCCATACCACATTTTTATAGAAATGTTCCAAATCCCTGTCATTGATATAGCCAGTCACAGTCATCGAAGAATCAAAATGATTCAATCCAGTGAATGCAATATTTCCAGGAATAGTAGTATTTTCATGTAGGAAAACGGCATCATCATACAAATCAGTAATATTAACACCATTAATGGCACCAGTAATATTCAAGTTATCAATGTGGGTATCTGCCAACAGAAATGTACCATTGTCAGTTATAGACACAAGAACATGGTCCTGTTAATTCAATAAATAAAATTATCTAGTCAAGATGAGGAATTAATCTTTTGAATGATTGTTATTGAAACTTACCACTCATAAATGTAATGTCTCCGAGTACTGTTTGTGAGAGGTCTGTTTTCATAACTTCACTGTTCAACTCTGAGATATCAGTTCCATTCACCTTGCCATTAATTACTATGTCTGCGTTAACACTGACATTGAGGAAAGTATAATTACCTAAAAAATAAAAAGTTGCTTTTGTAAAACTGGAAAATGTTAGTTTAGCTGTGTAGTACATATTCTGGTATATGGGACTGGTAGGATATAGGTTAAAGGGTTGGGTTCTGTAGCTCCCGATTTGAGAGTGTAATTCCAGAATTAATGTATTATTGAGAATTGGACGTTTGTTTACTGGATAAATAGAGATGGTTGGGTTTGATTTTTCTGATCCAAACCAGATTTAGCTCCACGAGTTTGAATTTGTTTTATTTGGTGAAATTAAAACTGAAAGATTCAGCGTGCATTTGCTCACGTTAAATTGAAATGACTATTTTAATGTATGGATCTACCACAGGTCAGACATTAGAGGCTCTATTGTGGGTTTGAAATCCACGCTTGGCAACAATTTTTCAATACCGTAATTGAGATGGAACTAAAAATCTACAGAGTCGTCTTTGTTAGCAAGATTTACAATCAGATGTGCAAGTTTCTGTAGCAATTACACTCCATATATAAATACTACTATAGTAGTTTATAATCTATAGTCAAAGATGTTTGGCTTTTGAGTAATAAATATTCTGTCCTTACAATGGTCACATTGACTAAAAGATATTAAATTGTGAAATTCAGGTTTTACCTGTTTTAATAGTCTAAACATGCTAGAAAATCCCTCTATTTGAGACTACTCTTGATACCTGCTATTATCAAATGTCAAGGTAAACGAAATAAACTGCACTGGTGACAAGTGTGGTTTCATAACTGGGCTGTCATTTATAACATTCACTGTTCAGTATGTACTGATCTTTTATTTCAGCATGGTATTTATTTTAGCAGAGAAGTGGTAATGGTTACAAAAATAAATGAAACAAATTAATTACAAGTACTTTAAATGTAAAAAAAATGAGCTGTCATAAAAGGATAAGGAAATCAAATTAGTTCAGGACTTGACGAGCAAGGTAGTCCTTTAATGAACTGATTTTTGAATGCACACATGTTCATCACCGAGTAATAAAATGAAATGTTTGTCCATAAGTTTGACGTCAATGTGAACAATTGTGATGCGTTTTATATCAAAGACATTTTTCATCAATCTTTTAAGAAATTGTGTTGAATGCTCTACTTGGACATTAAAGTTTAATTTGTCACCTTATGTTGCGACATTTAACACTGAAGACTTCAACAGTAAAACTGATAGAAACCTTTTTTGTAGACTACTAACCAGTGATTGTTTGCACGGCTGATTTCTGAAGAACTCTTTCATTTATATCGATATAATTGACTTCATGCATCACCGTTACATCTCCATTTACACCAAATCCATCATTGAAGGTCTATAAAGTTCATTCAGTAAATTATGCAAAGTTATTTCAGGAGAATTAATAATTGCAATGAAATTAATTATAATAAGCAGAAAAGCAAACCACTGAACTTACCTTATTTGCAAGAACAGTTTGGGATCCAGTATTTCTCACCACATCGTCATTCAAAAAGGTCAGATTGACACCATCTACAGTCCCACTCACTTGCATGTCATTCTCAATATTTAGGTTATTAGTAAAATTCTAGGAAATGTTAAATAACAGGCTTGATTTAGCAGTGAAGTAGAATAAAAGAACAAACATTAATGGCTTGTGCTGCATTTCTGTTCACAAGTTAACAACTGAATATACAATTATAACATGATGGCTGCTTCCCAAGTGGCGTTGGAGTGAAATTGAAAATACAAAATTTCCATTAACATCACTTAGATTTGAACCATTCACCCTGACCTTCTGTTAACTATGAATAAGTGCTTTGTTGTAAAAAGTTAGAAATCTAATTTTACAAAGTAGTAAGCGATAGACCAATGAAAAATGTGCATTCTGGTACCAGGTCATTGAATGTGTTCTAATATTTGTACCGATAACGGGACATTTCATCTGCTTGCTGAAGTTCTATCAATGTCACATTTTCTCACGTTAACAGATGCAAGCTTACAACCATTACATTGCCTCAGAGCAAATATAATAATGTTAACTACCACATGTGTGCAGTTTTATCTGTCATGGGCGAAAATTGATGTTTTGACAGAAACGTTGTCTGTGTGCGTTAGCATACCCAAGATCACTAAGTGATCATAACCAGACAATTCATACTGGTCAACATGAATCAAACATTCAAATATGCTCTTGCCATAAATGATTTCCACATTGATTTATATGTATAAAACGGCCAACTATAAATATACTATTGTAAGCCACAATGACATACGAGAAATAAGCCAGAACTCCCATAAATGAAGTTTTTTTCTCTGTACTAATAATACAGTAATATTTGTAGAAGTTTATTTTTTGATTATTTAAATGTCAATAGACAATAAATTTGGGCTTGAAGCATAACAGTCCAACTATCACCAACTATGTTGTGCATTGTGTCATCACGAGGGGAGTAGTTCTATGCAAATTAGGAGCCTAGTCGTGAAATCCACTAAATGATCCTCTGGAGAACTAACTTTTTGGATTAAAATATTTTGTGATCAGATATATATAAACTGATAATATTCCTAAACCAACAAGTGATTTTAATTTCAGTGGACATCAAGGATTTCCCATTAACAAAAATTCCAAAATACACACCTTTCTGCCAGTGACAGTTTGGTTACCATTAATAAACATAGCATCACCATGGACCAAAGATAAACGGCAAGAATCAACATAATCAGTTACTAGATCACCATCAATATTCACAACTGAAAAATAAGATTGAGCATTCTGATAATCTTGACGATTGATTCAAAAATGGTAATTTTTTTTATTTATTTGACAACTCGATTTCAACAATATAAAACGTCTGACATATTTAATCACGACAATCCGCACGTTTCAAATCTAATCTAAAAGTGACCATTTTTGGAACATTGCATGATCTACCGTATAACCCATACTTCCCATGATATAACCTCACCTGCGAATTCTTTATATCCTACAACATTTTGATCTTTCGTCGTTGACATCACTTCACAAGCAAAATCTGGTAGTGTGATATTATTGATTTGACCATCAACACTAACATTTCCTTCAATGTAGGCAGAATCCAAGAGTAGATATTCCCCAGATAAAGTCTAAAATGCAATAGACAAAACACATTTAATGACAATTACAAATGTAAAGTTTGAACTTGTTGAATTATCTCACCACGTTTTACATGGCCACCATTTCGTAAGAGTTACTGAACGCAAGTAATTTACCAAATAAACTTAAACACAATTCCAATCAAGTGATGAGCACCTTCCTGGCAGATTGCAATTTATTTTAATTCTTGTTTCCAAATATAAATTTGAACCAGAATTGTCGCAAAATGAACAAAGCCAACACATAGCACCTGTACACATTTTCACTGTTTGACATAAAGCACAATTAAAGGTTCAAATAAACCAAAAATTGCATTTACGGTGAACTGGATAATTAAAATTGAACATTTTGACCGTAGAGTACACAAGAGCCAATATTCTGCTGTAAATCTTTGCATGTATTCATAAATATTCATCATGATATTTTAAAATTCTGTCATTTTGCACAATACCCCTGGACCCAATGCATTTCATATTGTAAATACCTGATCAGTAGACAGCGTAACCCTGTTAGCATCTAGCAACTCTAGTTTGATACCATTAATGTCTTTTTCAACATACATACTGCCCTCTACAGTCAATGATTCTTCCACCACAAGACTATTGAAATTTAGGATATCTAGAAAGAATACAATTGTGAGTATAAAGGCACAATTTGATTTTCCACAAAAATTTAAAACTATAAAAATTTGACACTTTTCATTATTATGAACAGAAACTACACTTACCAGTAACATTTTGATCTTTGTTAACCATCATAAGATCCTCGGACAGATCTACCGTGTCTACAGTTCCTTTAACAGTAACATTCCCAATAACATTGACATCTCCAGAAATTGTCTGAAATAAAGAAAATATTTCTTCAAAAATTGTTTTCATTTTAATGTGGTGAAAAAAATTATGTACTCAATTAAAATTTCATTTAAATACATCTTAATATTCTAAATCAATCCCATTTCAGTTTCAGCTAGTGTAGAATTCTAACTTGGGTCTACTGATAAAGAGTTGGTTTCAACATTCACCATGACAACTTGCTTTTGTGTTCATCCACAAAGAAATAGTCTAAGATACAAGAAAAATATTTGACATGAAAGGATTCTCAACTTTTATGACCAAACGACAGCCCCCCCGACTTCTGGAAAACTTGCCTTGTGTCCATTGATTTCTTCCTCTCCAGTTAAATGCGCCATTTCTTCCAATAATGTGGTCACATTCACACTATCAATTAATCCTGTGACATTAAGTTCAGTTGTGGTAAATCCATTCATGAACGTTTTTGAAGCTGAAAAATAAATGCATTGCATATTATACACAATTGGTGCAAGAGTTATCAATTTTGTTCAAAACAAATCATTGCATTCCACCTAATTAATTGTGCAATTTGCCAAATGTCACTGGGAGAAGACTTGCTTTACACAGTATATAGCACACAAGAACATTAAGAACCTATAGTCCAAAGAAAATAGCCTGGAAAAAAACATTGCTTGCACAAAAATTAGTCCATGTAATTCTATTAAGCAAACTTACCTGTAATAAGTTGATCATCCACATTATTTAGAAAGTCAATTGAAAAGTTCTTCCCATTCAAAGGTCCTTGCACATCAACGTAACCATCAACCAGTGTTGCATTCAAAACAAACGTTTTTTTTCCGGTAATCACTTGAGCTACATGATAAATAGATAAACATGGCTGCAATTGGCAGAACTATCAGAACATTTTTTAATAGATTAAATTAGCTTATCATATTGCAAATACAGAATTGTATCAATTTTTTTCTTCTAGAAATTCTGTACAACAAAACTACTTACGTTCCGTACTGTTTTTCATCACACCATCAGATACTATTTCTGGACTAAATCCGGGGACACCACCCAGCGCTGTAAGGTCATGTTCCACAACAACATCATCCAAAAACACCACTTCATCTACAATAAAATATGGGAGCATTAATACAATCTATATCACAATACCCATGTATACAAACACAAGCAAGCCAATGTCATTAACAGCCGCCATCAAAAAATGGAACGTCACAAATGAGGTTGCACACTAGATGTTATTGGGTAATGGCAGAAATGCGACATTAACCTTTAGCTGTAAATCTGATGTAACATTGCTAATTTCAATAAAATTTGTCAGGAATATGCCAACAAAAATTAATATTCGAGAACAAAATGGACATCAGTCTGCCATTTTGAAACAAACTTGTGTATAGGTTCCACTATTCAATGTCCAATTGTACTAAATTAGAGTACTTTGTGAGGAACACTAATGTGAATTGCATTGATCCACTTCAACAAAGCTAAAACGAGATGAATCAAGATTCTATGATGCAAAGGAGACTAAGAACAATACATGAAACTTACATGGAATACTCTGATTCGTTGTTAAAGTGACTACCTCTTTTTGTAATTCAGATAGATCAATATCATCTACTGTACCACTCACAATGATATTGCCACGAGATACTAAAGGATCAGTAAACGTCTTCTCCCCATAGATAACCTCAGTACCTACAATAATACATCATTCTTTTATCTTTGTTACTATTAGAACAAGCCATCTGAAGATGACACAGCCCCCCCCCCCCTACTTGTCAGATGTGATTATAGTTGGCTATGAATTATGAAGTTTGAATGTATATGTATAAAATCTGGTAGGAAGATTAAGTTGAAAATCAAAAGCATGTTACTCTAAGTTAACAGCTAGAACATCTATTAAATTTGGTAAAATTTGCATCAATTTTCACAAAAATTCACAATTAAATAAGGAAATTCAATCGAGTCAATATTAATTAGCAGATACATGAACTAATAGTTCACAAGACATTAACAAAAATTCAAAATTAATTAAATATTCAAATTAGCTCATTAATTAAGTTGAAAGTCAATATTGCATAGCATACATCTTATATTGACAGATCAAGTAAGTACACCAAGTTTGGTCTCATTCGGACAATTGACAAGATATTAAGAAAAATTCAAATTAATGATGAAATATGCAAATGAGCTCATTAATTGATTCCTTGAAAAAATGTATCAACGTGCATCTGTACCAGTGGTCACTGTCTTTGTACGAAATCTCAACAAAAATCAATCCAGGCATCTTCAAGAAATGACGGACACCCAAATAACTGGATTTTACAGGATTTTGACATTCAAAATGACCGCCAGGCAGCCATATTTGATCATTTCAAAAAAGTAAAAGATGCATCTTTGTCCGGGTGGGGGCTAATGAAGCAATCTAAAGCAAAAATCTGCATCTAGCAAACTGATCTTGCAAACTAAAATCAAGTTTGTGAACGTCCATCAATTGGAATATTGATTGAATATGGGGTACACTTGCATCTTTAAACTGTTTGTAGTAACATAATTTAAAACTAACCAAATAATGTAACAACTTCTTCAGATAGGTCGAGACCATCAACATAACCCTCGACAAAAATATCACCTAGTACAACCAGTTCATCACTGAAGGTTTTTATTCCAGTAATAACTTGATCACCTGCAAGTTAAAAAAAAAATGACACTAATGCAGTGCTCTAGATTAGTCGTTAATGGCAAACTGAAACAGTAAATTTTATTCCTTTATTAAAAAATTACGACTTAAACCAGCCAGAAGGCTGGTTGGCGATGCGATCCGCTGAAAAAAACATGTTTTCGGCTGTTGACATGGTAGGACATGACCATGAAGCCAATGTCAGTTTTTAACTAAAACCTGGGCCCTGTATACATAGTCTTTAGAGGTCACTTAACTTCTAGCACGTATTATGCCGTCATTTCCGACTGTTTTGCCATTGTATTTTTAGATTTTTTTGATTGAACGCAGCATTCATTAAGTTCTTTGGCTGTTGTCATCACAGCCGCCGGGATTTCTTTCTGATTTGGGACAGTATGACCTGCCTGCCAAGTATGAACAAAATTGGCCCAGCCAAAATAAGAAAAATCCAAGAGGAGTTAAAAAGCCAGTACTGGTGAAAAGCTACCAACAAAAAAACCAATAACATGCATACCATTAAGCATGAGAAGATCCTGTGGAACATTAGCCTCATCAATTGTACCATCCACCACTACATCACCCAAGACTGTCAATAAACCTTCGAACTGTAAGGTAGCATTCATCTAACAAATGAAGTGGAAGTTGATATTTATATTGAATAAAGAAATTAATAACCTAGGGTAAAAATTGCTACATTAGTCATAGAAAGTTGTGCATAGGTAGGTTAGACTCATTTATTGCAAGAGGTCCTTTGACATGCCCATGGCATACATCATAAAAATCACGACCGCCATTTTTTTCCCCCCGGTTTTTCCTGTTCTTTATTAAAACATAATCTTTCTGGTAAAATGTATACATAAAATGTACAAGTTGAATAATACAGTTATCGGTAAATAAGTATGTACTTGTAGTTGTTAAATTTTCATTATCTCAGTATCATTTTCAGTTCAAAATATGGCCCATTTAAAATACATATGCTTTTACAAGTGGCACTAGGAAACTTAATTGCTGATGGCAATGCTTTGTAGGATGATGTTTGCCATGCATCAAGCCTAATAATTTATGTCTAGTATAAATCTTGTGTCTGTTTAAACCCTCAGAACATCGCCATGACATCAACTTACCTCCACATTTTCGTTAATCTTGGCTGCCAATTTATCCATTTCAGAGAGATCTACATCATTTACCAATCCAGTTATAAAGATATTACTATAAACTGTTACAGGTTGCATAAAAGTTATTGTAGCTGCATATGTGAAGGCAATGATAATTAAGATAGTTTCCTATCAATAAGAATTTGTGGTATTCAGATACTCGATAATCAATACATCTATAATCCTATTGCATGTACAAGAAATTCAACAATAAATGATATTTAACTTGGTAGCCCAACAGTTATAAACGCACTAATTCCCTCTTCATCTTAAATAAGTTCAGTTTGTTGTTTGCACATTCCTTCAGAAGATTGGGACCAAATTTTTTGAGTAAAAACTGACAATTGACTTTTTTCGGTTGGCTCTAAAATTAGGGTTCATGTCTGGAAATACAAAAGAATTTAAGAAAAAAAAGGGCGGAAAAATTTGGGTGAAGAGATGAATAGACTATGCTAATTTAATACATCAAGTAATTATTGTAAAATTGTGTATACAGTATGTGGTAAAAAAAAAAAAGATCAATCTTACCATTAACCCATTCATTATAGTGTGTATGCATTGTGTATAACCAAACTTCAAATAGCTGCTCTCCATCAACCGTTCCATTTACTTTCACATCACCATAGGTCTCGACAAATTCAAATATTTTGAAGCCTAAAGAGAGAATACCTTTTCATTATTGGTAATCCATGGAGAAAATCGTGGGTTATTTATAGTACACGTACAATATCGTGAGCTTCACATTATCACAATGTAAATTTCCATTTGCACGTAAATTCATTTAAAAAAAAGGATAGTGATTTAAAACAATGCATCTCCCACAGTTTCATTTGATACAGAGAAAGATAGTGACGAGATACTAAGTTTGGTTTCGTAACTCGCATTATTTTACTATAGACATTTCTAATCCAAAATAGCACTGCAAGAAATGATTACACTTTAAATAGCGAGGCAAGGATTTGTGCAATAATTATTTCAATTATATATCCCGAAATGAAAATATTTAGTAGCTTATTAATAGTGGGATTAGCACATCATAGACGCTTGGTATTTCAGTTTTACATAGAAATTCTTAAGTGACTGAAAAATATTCTAACGAGAAATTTCCATAGATTTTGATACCTAAACCTGAAAGAATGAATGAGGGGTAGTTGAAATTTGTACAAATATGGGGAAACATTGAATGCAGATAATGTGTTCATTCTTAAGAACTCAACTGAGATAATGAAACTAGCAATTTCAACAACTAATCTTCAATGGAGTTGTATACAAGAAGGTCATCTTTAAGGTCAAGGTCAATGTGAAACGTACCTGTAATTGTATGGTGACCATGCAATGTGACAGCCTCCTCTGAAATGTCAATACCATTTACTTCAATGTTGGCTGAAAAGTCTGCATCACCCTCTATTGTCAAAGTCGACTCTGGACCAAATACTTTAACACCTGTAAGAAAAATTGTGTACATCAAGCTGATGGGTCAGAATCATTTTACGTACATTATCCAATGCGAGCTGGGTTTCTCAATGAAATTTTTGGCATTTATTAAATGGATCTGACAATATAATTTTACTCATAAAGTAGCAAATGTTGATTTGAAATGCCTTATAATTTGGACAATGTTGCATTCCTTTGTATATTTTGTACCAAACTTGAACAAGCTACTAGTCAGCAATGTAATCACTGAATAGTGCAAATAACGGGCAACATGGACATTTGCATTTACCAATACTAACAATCAAATGAAAACTGATACAAGTATCATTAAAGTTCGTGTACCTGCAATAGAGCTTGATGTGTCTGTAAATACAACTTCCTCAGAGAAATCGACACCATTGACTAAACCATTTTTTATAAACACATCAGCATAGATATAAACCTTCTGAGAGAATGTTATTAATCCAAACATGTCAACTTCTTCTGATGTCCTATAGCAGAGGAAAAGTAGATTTAACAAATATTAAGGTTGCTATAGTTACTGATTATACATTGTCTACCAAGTCAAATCAAAGCACTTCAAATTACAATACTTCAATACTGAAGATATATACTACCAATCAAACCTTAGAAACAACTCTTATATCGAGTACTTTACATATAAGCACATGTGCTTTTAATAGGGCAATATGGTTCTTAACTGCAAGCAGTGATCTGGGTGCTTTGCAGTAGCTATGGTAAAATAAATATAAAAAGATGAATCGATACTTTGGTAATGCATCTTATCTGACAACATAGTATTGGTTGCAAGTCCCTATCGGCACTTATCAATTAAGGCAAAGTGTATACATTATATAATTAATGTATATAGGTCTCGATTATTCACGAGCAATACGCTATCTTAGCTCGAATTAATAAAGGTGAAAATGAATTTAATAACATTGTTAATTTCAAATGACAAGTGAAAGTTGATACTTTAATAGTCTTCTGAAACTCTGGATATTCAGATTTCCATTTGCGAAAAAAACGCGACTGCGATGTTTGAGCCATTTAACATCGGTTATAATATTATTCGACAGTGAAAAAAAAGAATTTTATGCTTTATGAGGGCTATTCTGTTTTCAGGAATTAATATATTCCTGAAAATAACAAATAATGTATTTAATGTATTCGTGTGGAAATTTATGCTGATTTTGTTAACTTTTTTTTAAAACCATGACAGAATTTGTACTGGGTAAAAAGCTCAATTAAGTTGTAAATTAGCACTTTCAAAACAAAATAGATAAAAAAAATTATTTTTATCCATTTACTTGTGTCAAAATATACAATCTAAGTTAAATAAAACAAGCCATGCATGGCACAGTCCCCATTAGTTATCAAATAGTAATATAGCTGGAATATAACCATGTCAGGAATATGATTTTTTAACATTAAAATGATTGACATTTGTATCTGATCGTCAAACAAGTACTTGTCCATATTGAGAGATATTGCTCTGGAACAGCATTCAAAAATCAGCCATTTTGAATATATATATATCATGATGTACAACGAATATCTAATATTCGAATTTAATCAGTCAAAGCATTTAAGAACGTCCCAACGGGGACTAATATACTATAGTTCTTGGTTTATATAATGTCTCATTACCTGGCAGCCCAATCATCTAAATACACCAAATCCACTCCATTCACATTATCAATACTTGCATGTAAAGTTGTGAAATTATTAACCGTTAAGTCTGTAAAGTTCTTCAATGCAGTGATGTTTTGATCAGTGTCTACAAATACAGCATCTAGTGACAAAATAAATAGCCTGTAAATAGACATTTCTCAACCAATTGAAGGTTATTACGACTTTCACTAACAAACTGATATTCTATGTTATAAAGGGTCATATGCAAAAGACGTACAGCCGTTAATAGGCAGGTTCAGTCTGATATCTACTGAGAAACTGTTACCAAAATGCTGCCAAAGCAAAGCCAGATAATGCCTTTGCATGGGGGGGGGGGGGGGGGTCATAAATTGTAAAAGTTTACCTTCCATTTCAAGTTCTAAATTGGCCACATCCTTTTGACTCGTACTCAAATTGGCAAGGATTTCGGGGAATGAAATATGGTTCCCAGTATACACACTTTCAACAGCAGAGTCGAGATCCAATTCACCTACAAAAAAAAAAAGCTCAGTCACGAGTATAATTTAACAATACAAAGACTGGTGTTGATCATTTTCCTGTCTTGTAATGCTACGATAAATACAATCAGTGAAGGTGCAATTTGCTTTCTATATCATTTGGAGAAACAAAATGTATTCCATTTTAAGGTTCAATTGTTTACTTCTAAATTGGTTTTCTTGAATTCATTGAGAAAATCCTAGCATCCCCAGTTGTGGCATTACAATTTGTCTTTCAATGAAAACATTTCATGCAATTCAAAGCAGGAACTGACAAATTCTGGAACATCAAACCTTCAGCCATGAAAGATTAATCTAACAGATTACAATGTTCTGTCGCAGTCCCTCTAGCATGGGTTGTGCATAAATTGCAGAAAAACATGTTATATTTCTATATTTAATAAGCACAGGTTTTATATATAAAATGAATAACTAATCAAACTTCCGACATCCTGAAATTATCGAACTGAATCGAGTTCAACTCCATGTTTATGTACATGTATACATCACCAAGCAATTAGATTGGTATTAAAAATCTACATTGAGTAAGAAGTGATCTATTCCAGCAGGTTACAAGAGACTTACCAAGAACTTCCACATTATTGGCAGTCAGGATAGATTCTATGGTGAGAGTGTTGAATGTTTTATCCCCTGTAATATTTTGTTTTCCAGCAATTGTCACACTGTCATTGAAGTCGCCTTGCAAAATGTCCATATTGTCTCTATACTCTGTCAAATTAACCTGAAACGGCACGATATTTTTAAATACGCAATGTTTTGTATACTTTGCAAGGAATATAATTAAGGCAAAAGTACTGGCAGCATGCATCATAATTTTACATGACTATGGTTCTTTCCTACAATGAAGTCTCATCTAGTGACTATTTTAATGTGAAAATTACATTTATTTTAGTTGCACCTTATAGCAAGTCACATTTCGACCAACAATTATAGACCCAACCAATACCCACGATTTGGACAGCCTTACTCTCGCCAATTTACATCACTAAAGCAACTTGTGTTAAGGCATAGTCTAGAAAGATCAAAACACAGGTACCAGCTGAATCAGTGCCACTTTCACACAATTCTAATAAATAATTATTACAAAATACATGTAATATTGAAACATTTTGAAAATGGAATAGAGATGATCCAATTAAGTTTGAGCAAACAAAACTGCCAAAAAATTAAAATAAAAGCAAAAAAATACTTACATGTAATATTTCAAGTTCTTTCTCTAGCATTGTATATTGTACTTCAACTGGGTTCGACACATCAACAACCTTTGCATCAATTTGAAATATTCGTCTTGTGGGTTGACCAGACTGATCTGTCACTGCTAGATATGTGTAACTATCATCCATAGTGAATAGTCTCAAACCCAGAGATAAAGAATTAGTTCCTACAAAATAAAAATTGTCAACCATATGAACTTCCAGTACAAGCAACTTAAATGATCGATATGGAGACGAGTTGTTAAGTGTTGAATACAAGCAACTAACAAATCTATTAAATGCAGTATTGCAAAAATATGTAGTACATAAACTAGAAAATACATTTTTATGCTGGCTCAAAAAAAAATGATCAGACATAAATGTAAATTAGTTAACTATATATATACTTTTATGTGAGCAAGGGTTATAATTTTCCGTGATATTGTGATCATAGTTAGGAAAAGATTGTGCTATATTTTTACAAATTTATTAAATTTCATGAGTAACGTGTTTACTGTAATCATCTCGACTCAATAAACATGCATGTTTGAAGGATGGACAAAAATGTGTGCCTAAGATGCACGTAATATTTAAAATTGTGCGCATTCATTTTTACTGGCATTTAATTTCACCCTTGTTTTTTTTTAAGCATATTCACTGAATAGTAAACTTGATTTGACATGGAAACAGTTTTAATATAATTCTATCTGTTCACATAGATTTAATTCAACAGATTTCAATATCAGCAAAATAAATTACAACACTGAGAAAAATTAATACCTTTACATAGTCGTCAAAAGTGACGAAAGTTTTGGCATTCAGTCATGAAAAGAGCTTGCATAATGTGTCCAAGACTCACCGATGGATTTCAGAACTTTAAATTGATTATCTGTATAGGTGTAAATGTCCAACGATTTGTTAGTGGATACTACCAACAGAACTTCATTCCCACAGCTACCAACTGCAATTGAACTCCATTCAGACAAACCTCCAGCAACCTCTTGAAATTTAACAAAATTCACGCCTAACAAAAACATTTAAAGATAGAAAATGTGAATGGCATAGTAGCAACATGCATTACATTGGCTATTTTAATCAATTCAATAATTTTTCATCTCAAAATCTGACAATATGTCAAAAAAATTGGACATTAAAATAAAACCAACATGGCCACCAGACAGCCATTTTGAATCAGATTGCAAAAAAAAAAAATTAATGTGATTCATTTAACTGACCATGGCTGTCAGTGAATTTTACAAGTTTAAATGTTGTGCCCCCCCCCCCCAATAATAAAAGTATACCTGAAAAACTGGTAGAACACTTGTAAAACATGCAGCTGAGTATTAAAGCATTCAGACTTGTAGTTTTCAAGAAGTAGTCCAAAAAGTAAAAAGGTGACTGGAACAACGGACAATCACTCATAAGCTCACTCGTCAAAGTCGACAGGCGAGCTAAAAACAAAATGTCCACTTGAATCAGATTGTAAATAAAAAATGACATGCATTAGTAACCCACCACGAGTGATAATGTTTGATTGAAATTGTCCAATGCATGTTTAAATGTAAAAAAAAATGGCTACTATAAATCAACATGCCAATAATTAACAAAATTGGTCCACACAACTTGATAAATGTTGGACAAAAACCTAATACTAAATACTCACCATCCCATTTGTAGATATCTGTTAGTCCAACTTCATTACTCACAATCAGGAAGTGGTCAAAGTTGAGAGTAAAGTGTTCCAGGTCATAAGGAGTATCACTTTGAATTCTGTGCATTTAACAATAACAAAGAGCATTAGAAAAACAATATAGATATAGTTCAAGGAGTTTAATTTATTTGTAAAGTAGTTT